CCTCCACTGGCTACCTGTCTGTTTCCATGCCAGCTTCAAGGCGATGGTGCTAACATACAAGGCCCTGAATGGCTTGGGACCTTGTTATCTGGCATAATGCCTCCTTCAATCTAGATCTGCCCGGCCTGTAAGATCTTCCCAGACTGGGCAGTTGAGAGTTCTGATGCCAAGAGAGGCTCAGAAAACAGTGACCAGAAACCAGGCCTTCTCGGCAGTAGCCCCGCAATTGTGGAATGGTTTCCTACCTGAAATCTGCCTGTCCCTTCCTTGGAAACCTTCAAGTGGTCATTAAAAACATGGTTATTTAGACAGGCCTTCCTGGATTCTATAACATCCTGATACAACTGTGCTTTACCAATCAGATATTTGCTAACGTTCAACCCACCACCATGCTTTCACTATTTATTTTAACATTTTTATTGATATTATTTTCATTTTGTTTACACTGTATTGATTATTTTGTCTTGTTGTTTTGTTTTATTTACATACATACATACATACATACATACATACATACATACATACATACATACATACATACATACATACATACATACATACATACATACATACATACATACATACATACATATGACTAGTGTAGAAAAGCCATGTGTGCCTGACTAAGTGTCAAGCTTAAATGGTTGCCCAAAAGCTTTCCGATTGAACCACAGTCATGTTTTCTGTCCCATCTTGTCTTGTGGTTTTTTTAAATGGCCCGGAAGACAGCCTAAAGTTGCTACAGTTAGCAAGCAACCTTGTGAGCTCCTGAACTACCAATGGGTCAAAAAAGAGACATGGTCATGGACTGTTGTGTTGGGTTAATAAACAACCCAGATGAGCTTTTTCTCTGTCTGTAAATCACAACAGATTTCTCAGCTTGTTCATGAGAAGGACTGAAGGACCAGGTTTATCTCTGAAGCCAGAAGCAACAGCATATGGAAGAAGATGGGAGTGAATGCAACCTGGTGGGACATCAGGGCAAGACACAGAGAACAGATGAACAGAGAAGCAGACCCCGTTAGAAGCCCTAATATGTAGGACAGGCTTCTCTCCAACAGGCACCCTACAGTTGTGATGAACTACCAGCCCTACATCCCTCTCCAGCGCTGTCATTGGCCAAACTGGCTGGGGACAATGACATACTGTATGTAGCCCAGTACCTCTGCAGGGTGTTAGCCTGGGGAAAGCTTATAACTAATCCTGTTTTGCTCTTTTTAATTTTTACTTTTCTCCTTACCCAGTGGAGGAAGCACATCTCAGTACATTATTGTGTTCTATAGACATAGAGGTGTGGGGTAAAAAAATGGCTAACTCCAGCGGGACTTCTCTAAGTTAATAGATATTGTTAAAATGCAATAGTTATTAAGTCATTTCCCATTTCATTATTATTGTATTATTGTACATATTAAAAGGATTTATTTCTCAATCTAGATAAAAGATCTAGTGGAAATATTCAGTGGTGATTCCATGAAAATTGAAGGGAAAGGGTTGGGCATTTTGCAATGTGAATTGCCTGACAGAATAAGTGAGAATGGAATATAGAATACTGTCAGTGACATGCTGTTTGTTCCTGAATTACATTGCAACATGTTAAGCGCATCAGCTTTGGATGATAAAGGTAGATTTTGAAAATGGACAGTGTACAGTAGTGAAAGATTGTGATATGTATTTTCAAGCAGTTAAATCTAATGGTGCCAATAAAATGGACAGTGTACAGTAGTGAAAGATTGTGATATGTATTTTCAAGCAGTTAAATCTAATGGTGCCAATAAATCGAGTCTGAAGATGAACATGAACAGATCAAGACAGTGGAAGCTCAGAGAGAAGATGGCAGCAGCGTGGAGCTGTCGCATTGTTGCTTTGCACACAGAGATTCAAAAGTAATTGTTGTTGTTATTTACTCATTAAGTCATGTCCGACTCTTTGTGACCCCCTGGACCAGAGCACACCAGGCCCTCCTGTCTTCCACTGCCTCCTGGAGTTTGGTCAAATTCATGTTGGCCGCTTCGATGACACTGTCCAACCATCTCGTCCTTTGTTGTCTCCTTCTCCTCACACTTTCCCAACATCAGGGTCTTTTCCAGGAAGTCTTCTCTTCTGATGAGATGCCCAAAGTATTGGAGCCTCAGCTTCAGGATCTGTCCTTCCAGTGAGCACTCAGGGTTGATTTCCTTCAAAATGAATAAGTTTGTTCTCCTTGCAGTCCAGGGGACTCTCAAGAGTCCATATATCACTACTCCCATTTCTTTAAGAACTTGCCATAGTTTGCTGTGGAACACACAGTCAAAGGCGTTTGCATAGTCAATGAAGCAGAAGCAGTTGTTTTTCTGGAACTTTCTGGCTTTCTCCATGATCCAGCACATGTTAGCAATCTGGTCTCTAGTTTCTCTGCCCCTTCAAAATCCAGCTTGTACTTCTGGGAGTTCTCGGTCCACACACTGCTGAAGCCTACCTTGTAGGTTTTTGAGCATAACCTTCCTAGCATGTGAAATGAGTGCAATTTTACGGCAGTTGGAGCATTCTTTGGCACTGCCTTTATTTGGAATTGGGATGCAGACTGATCTTTTCCATTCTTCTGGCCACTGCTGTACTTTTCAAACTTGCTGGCACCTTAACAGCACCTTAACAGCATCATCTTTTAAGATTTTAAATAGCTCAGCTGGAATGCCATCACCTCCACTGGCCTTGTTGTTAGCCATGCTTTCTAAGGCCCACTGACTTTACTCTCCAGGATGTTTTGCTCAAGGTCAGCAACCACACTATCTGGGTTGTCTGGGACATCCAGATCTTTCTGGTATAATTCCTCTGTGTATTCTTGCCACCTCTTCTTGATGTCTTCTGC